ATAGCTGGCTGGGGAATTCTGGGAGTTGAAGTCCATACATCTTAAAACTGCCAAGGTTGAGAAACACTGGTTTAGTATGTGAACCCAGACTGTGGTATCTGGAAGCATACAGAAGGTTATATAAAATAAAGGGAGTGACCAGTATGTCCTTCTGTCTTAATTCCAAGAAAAGCAATTCTTTTCTTTGCAGAAGAATATACCAGAAGGCCAAAGGGATGAGCCACAGCACTGGCAATCCTTGTGGGTAATTATGGGACTTGTAATCCAATACTTCTGGAATCACAAGCCCTAAATCAGTGAAGGCTGTGTGAAGAGTTCATTCTACTGAATTGGAGGTGTTCCCATAGCTTCTCAAAAAATTAACATTTTTTCTCTCTTGCTACAGAAGTTGCATGGCTAGAGCTCAAGACCCAGAACTCAAACCACGTGCTGCCAAACTACAATTCCCAGCATTCCATACAAGGTTGCAATTTGGCTTACTCCTAGAAAGCTACTGGTTTGCTGTCCTAACTGAGCAGAGCCCACTTAGAAGGGCTCCAGGGGTACTGGAGAAAGGGGCTGGGGGCATATATGACCCATCAACACCCACCCCCATCTTACACATAAGGGAGACCAAACCCATCCTTACCGTTGCCATGTCATAAATATGTGTAGATCCCATCATGGCACCCCCAACCGTTGGCATCCTCTTCTCCGGCAGAACTGTGAACAGCTGAGGCGTCTCACTGCTATTGGGGAGGGGCGGTAGGTAGGAGCAAGCAGGAAGAAGAAAGTGTCAGAGTAACTGAGGGAGAAAGAGATGTCTTGGGAACAAATCACTGAAGGCCAAGAATCTTTCAGAAAAAGATAAACTGAAATGGGAATTGATTTTACAATAAAACCTATTTCCTAGGGAAGCAGTGGGCTCCCCTTTGCTAGATGTAGTTACGCAGAAGCTTCTGGGATGTTTAAAGTCAGACTCTTACAACAAGCAAGGATTAAACTCAATAGTCTAAAGCAGTGTTGTCCAAACTTGGCCACTTTAAGATGAGAGTCTAAAGCAGTGTTGTCCAAACTTGGCCACTTTAAGATGAGAGTCTAAAGCAGTGTTGTCCAAACTTGGCCACTTTAAGATGAGAGTCTAAAGCAGTGTTGTCCAAACTTGGCCACTTTAAGATGAGTGGACTTCAACTCCCAGAATTCCCCAGCCAGCACAGCTGAATTCTGGGAGTTGAAGTCCTCTCATCTTAAAGTGGCCAAGTTTGGACAACACTGGTCTAAAGGCATCCTTCCAACTAGGATTCTATGAATGCTGTCTATACCAAATGGCAACCCTTCTCCAGTCTTGGGAGGACCTCTGCCCAACCCTGCTACCCAAGTTCCTTCCCAGATCAAATTTATTTCCTGAGACTGGATTTGATTGTAGGAAAGCGCTCTGCCATTTGGAAAACATGAATACAAAATATCACCCTGCGATATTGTGATATCCCATGTCTATAGCCAGTTCTATCAGTCTTTGACTTTCCTTGGATTCATTCAGCAGCTTTTCCCACCATGTTTCTACAAAAGGAGGAATGGGAGATAGGGAGACTCAGCGGAGAGATCCTAGAGCACCATGAAAAGGCTCTTATCAATACTACTCAAAGCACGGCTTATTGTTATAAGAACTATATCATGGTACCTGAGTTTTCCTTTACCCTCCCCATCACTCTTCCCTTTAGTGTTGTGTCTTTGGGGATTCCCTTGTAGTTACTGAGTTGTATAGCAGCTTCTTTGTTTGAAAGGTGAACAAAATGTGTGAAGGAACCCATTAGGTGAACCTCTAGAGCTCTGAAAACTTGAGTTCTTCCCCACCAAAGACTGTCTATTGGGCCCCAAGGGGGGATGTGAAGAGAGTGGAAGACAGAATCAAAAGCCAGCATTTACCCATCCATGGCTTCCTCAATCTTCTTCTTACGCAGCTCAATGAGTTCTGGTGTCTCCATGCCGGCGGGCACGGAAGAGAAGCCACCTGGTGTGATTAAGCCACTAGAAACAGAGGAGGAAGAGGAGAAAGTGAGTCAGAACCAGGCCAAAATGAACTGGAGTCAACCAAGATGCTTCCCCTGGTTATGGAAGTCACCTATTTGGGGTGCGGATCATACAATGCATTGAACCACCCAGCCTGGATTTGCCCAACAGGCCGAAAGAACAAAGCAAACCCCTGCTTGCCGGCTTTCTTCCTTGAAGCAAACCGACAGGCACTCCAGGCAGACGGCGGCTGCGAGTTCTCGACCAGCTCGCAGAGCACTACCAAATCTTCCTAGGAACCATCCCGGCCTTGAGCTACAGCTTCCCATGCAGATTTGCAGGCCTCATCATCACATCTCCCCCATTTGGAAATCGGCCATCCCCTAACCCTGACACAGCCTTACCTATCTGCGGGGGTGATGAAGCCCGTCTCATCCGGCTTCTCTTCGTCACTGTCTTCGTCTTCCTCCTCCTCGGAGGATTCTTCATCGGAGGGCTCCAGTTCCCCCCAAGGTGTCCGGTCAATCTCCTCTTCTTCTGTCTTGGTCTAAGGAAGGAAGGAAGGAAGGAAGGAAAAATGGAAGCATTGCTGCCAATCCCTCAACAGTTGCAAGATGGGTGGCTGTAGAATGGGCATAATAAAAAAGTGTAATAGAGAAGGCTCTGAATCAGTAACAGAAGAATGCAACTGTCAAACTCTTAACAGCTCCTTACAACCCAAAAGCAAGATTCTCACTCTTCAGTTTATTGAAGGGAAAAGGGAACTGGGTTACAAAAAATTTTGGCAACTGGACAGAGTTACTGCAGCACCTGATTTGTTTCTAAGTTTGTTAGGGCAGAGATTTCTTGATCCTCTTGCTCAACCTCACTGACGCACTGGGCAGGTGGCTACCTGTTTCCCTGATAAAGGAAGATATTCTGCACTTGTAATATTCTGCAAACTGCTGTCGTCTTCCCCGAGAAGCCCATTACAGTGACCCTCAACCTTGCTGATGCACCTGGACTGCTCATCCCAGTACCGGGATGGGCAATCCCAGGTCTTGGATCTCCATGTTTCAATTAAATTCAAATGTTCTTAAGCCGGTGTTTCTCAACCTTGGCAACTTTAAGACGTGTGGACTTCAACTCCCAGAATTCCAGCAGGCTGGGGAATTCTGGGAGTTGAAGTCCGCACATCTTATAACTGAGAAACATTGCGCTAAACACATACCTGGAATTCAGCAGCATTGGTCCCAAAGACATCTCCGTACAGGGGCTTCCCGGTCTCATCCACAGGAGGCTTACCCCAGCCCCCGGCATGGTACCCAAATGAACAACCCTGGAGAAAAAAGGAAACGGTGGGGTCAGGCTCGTCGCCAGCGACCTAAAACAAACCATGATTCTTTCCAAGCACGTTTCTCACTGTTTTCTTAAGCAAGATTCACTGAGAGGAGTGGAAGAGGTGTACCAGAATTTCCCAATTTCCCACACCCTCATGCGCGACAGCAGAGAATTTTTGATTTTTTTCTGACAATCTTCCTGCGATCTGGCGAGGAGGTGGGCCTTCCACTGGTTGTTTAGGTAACTGACTCCTGAATCTTTATCGGTTTGTGGACTGCGAGTCAGGTTGTGACCCTCAGAGTTGGAGGAAGTACTTTAAACGTGTTTGAAGGCCTACTCACCTCTGGGATTGGAGAATTCAAGCCGGGAATTTTCAGGTTGGGGTAGGAGGGGGGCGGACCGTAGCGCTGCATGGCAATCAGCCATGGAGGAGGAACTTTGTGAGCGTTCTTTGGGGCAGAAGGAAAAAAGACACCATTAGTTGCAGAACCCTCCTTATTCACCTCATATCCTACCCATGTGCTCTCTGCAGCCTGACCTGCTCCTTCATCCCAACATCAAGAAAATATTCACTAATCCTACCAACACCTTTCAAGAGCTGCTGTGATGGCAGACAGAGGCTCGGGCGAGACCTTAATGCAGAAAACAACAAAGCTTTGCAAATTTCAAGTATTTCTAGGCTGTCCTTAAGGCTCTAGTTCGCATTCTTGAGAAATAGCCTCCCTCCTGGTTTTCAGCAGGATGGCTTTTAAAAAAGGAAGAATCTGCCGAGCGTCTTCCTCGCACCATCTCACAAGGTGCAGCTCGGATGCTCTCAGGAGCGCTGGCAGTCTCCCACCGACTCACCGGCCCCACGGGCATCCCCAGGGCGATGCGCAGCTCATCTGAAAGGTCGCCCGGCTTCTTCTCCTTCAGCCGCGTCTCAAACTCCTTGCCCTGGTGGAGGAAGAGGAGGGGAGAGGGAAGAGGACTTGGCAAGGGAGCTGCCCGACTTGCTCCCCTCCCATTCGGTTGAAGGAGGGAAGGCTGGTGCCCGAGGGGCTGCCTTGTTACCTCATAGTACAAATCGCCATGGATGGTCAGCTTTGGCTTCGTCTGCCACTTGAAGAAGGCATCGTGCAGCTTCTGGTAATCAATGTCGATTTTGCCCATCTTGGGGCGCACTTTCTCCCGCATTTTGGATTTCATGGTTTTTTGTTCTTCCTGGAGGGGGGGAGGGAACAACCACAGGGAAGTGAGCAAACTAGGAGGTCACATTTTACTTATTATTTGATACAACCTTTTCTGCTGTGGCAACTCCCTCTGGAACATCATCCCCCCAGAAATTAGACTTGCCCTGACCCTGTTGGCCTTTCACAGGGCACTAAAATCCTGGCATTGCCATTGAGCCTGGGGCCCAGATAGCGTGGGTGAGCCTGTGTCATGGCTTGTTTGAGTGGATGCGAGTCTGCTCGGCTGTTATTTTTATTGTTTTCAACTCTGGCCATCTTTTATTGTTTTGATTCTGTTTTAATGGTGAGCCATCCAGAGTCATGTATACGAGATGGGCGGCCTATACATTTACCAAAAAAAAAAAAAATTAAACCGCATAATTTTGTTTTAAAATCCATTTTTTCTTCTTATGCTATATTTTACTGCCGAGTCCAGGAGGACTGAGGCGGCAGAAACATTTAGAACACGTACAGGGCTACCCAAGACGTGACTCCTGATGGCGTACAAAAAAACCATCGAACAAAAATGCAAGAAAAAGTAACAAAACTGCAGGTGTGCATAAATAAATAACACGTTCAAAAGAAAAAAACGAAAGCCGATATGGCTCTTTAGTTAGACCCTCCGTTCGAGTTCATACACCACACCAGGGTAGACTTGGGGAGGAGGGAGTTGATTGTTCAGCATCTTGCGCAAGCTCAGATCGTTTTAGTGAGATGTGTGACCAGCCCGTCACAATAAGCCATCATTGGTTTGCACGCTGCCTATCCAGTCAACACTTTTTTGTTTGCTAATCCAGCTTTAGAATTTAGCACGACCACCACGAATTCCAACCCTGTGTCACTTCCATGCCAACGTCAAGACTGCTGTTGTGGAACAGCTCTGGGTGTGCTTGCGTGAACCACAAAGTTTCCTCCTCACCTTCTCCTGCAGGGCTTCCCTCATCTCTTGAATTCCTGTGCGCTTAATGAATTCAGGCAGTTCAAACGGTGGCTTCTCGATGCCCCGCTTGCCTTGGAGATATTTGCGCTTGAAGCACCAGTGGCGGGGGACAGGGACCGAGTTGCGGGTCGCCTTCAAGTGGACTAGCAGCTTGGGATCCTGCGCCGTCACGTCGTGCATCTCCACCACGTCAGGGCGGGCCACAAGCTGCAGGGAACCGGAAGCAAAAAATAAGTCTGTTCTCCTGGGCTTTTCAACTGCCTTCCCTTTCCCCGAATTTCTGATAAGGCAGCTGCCCTCCTACTGCCACCCAACGGTCATCTACCCTGGTGACTTCTTGATGGGTACGGTCCAGCGGAAATAGGCTAGGCCCCAGTCCCAAGCGCGTGCATGAAAATCCATCCAGCATAGGGCATTGGGGGGAAAATAGAATCCGGAAGTCCTCTTGTACCCCAGGACTTCTCTGGGCCCAGCCACAGAAATCACAACCCCAGGAGGCCTCCCTAAAAACCCACTTTGCAGCCTAGGGAGAACAGCACCTCTCCTCCTGGAGGAGAAGCCATACCTGCTTCAGCTCAGCCACAGTAAAACGGTTCATCCGCCGGAGCTTCTTCTTGGACAGTTTGGGGGCTTCTGGCTTCTTTTCCTGAAGTTATTGGGAGAGACACCCGTCACCCCCTGCAACTATTTTACTGTGCGTCGTATTATACGGGTGCAGATTTCTTATCTACACAGCGACTTCCCCCCGCATCCCTCCGAATGCTTATAGGAAGTGTTGAGACACGTCCTTTCTCTTGCCGTCTGCCCCCAAGAATCTTGAACTCTGGGGTGGACTGCCCCTAAATCTGGAGGTTTCTTTCTTCAGTTCTAACAGCCCCAAACCAAGAAACATCTTTTGCTTCATCGCCAGATCAAACGAAGAGCCTTGAGGCAGAACGCTAAGCAGAAGGAAAAAAGGGTGTTTTCCCATCAGCCTGCCACCCACACTCGCCCACCTGCTCGTCATCGGAGCTGTCGTCGCTGTCCTTCCGTTCTTCCTCGAAGCCCTTCTTCTTGGGAGCAGCCGAACTGGCCACCTTGTCTGCCTTCTCCGGCTCCTTCTCCTTGTCCTTCTTAACGTCGTCTGTCAGCTGTGAAGAAGGGAGAAGAGAAGCTGGGGAGGGATTTCGGAGCAGGTGGAACGATATTTTCTCCACCGTCCCCAAGAAAGAGGCAAGACTGAGAATCGAAACCGAGAAGGAAAAGCAGATTTCAGCAAGAGGTTCAGAAGAAACCTTCTGCCATGACTGGCTGACTTTGCCTTGCTGGAGCTATTTATCTGCAGGGGTGCTGCGCTTTCCCTCTGCTTAGGCTCCGGTGAGATGCGTCCCAGCCCTGTGATTCCTAGCAGAGCATCCAATGAAATCCATCTCGATTACCATCATAGACCAGCATAAGGGGATGGAGTGCAGCCATTAGGAAGAAACACGAAAAATATAATTATTAAAGAGCTAATGCATAAAAGATATACAGATGGTTCTCGTTTAATGACCGGTCATTCAGTGACTGTTTGAACTTGCGACAGCACTGAACAGGTGGTACTTGCAGCTGGTCCTCAAAGTTCCAGCCATGGCAGCACCCCCACAGCCTCACAGTCTGGGAACTCAGCAACTGGCCCAGATTTCCAACCGCGGTCACATGATCATGATACGTGACCTTCCCTGCTTGCTTTCCACAAGCAAAGTCAATGGGGAAGCTGACAGGAAGTCAGAAGTCGCAATCGCATGAGGTCCTTGCTTAACAACAGTAATGGGGGCTGCTGGAACTGCCACCACTAAGCAGCGCAGTCATGTGACGTCATGCTTTACATCCGGGTTGCTTAGCGACAGAAATTCCAGCCCCAATTACCATTCTTAAGCGAGTATTACCTGTAAAAAGCGAGAATCTAAAAGGAACTGCATATAAGAGCTGGAGGGAAGGAGGGAAAAGGCATGAAAGATATAAAACCACTGCTGGCTGGGTTTATGTAATGTGCTAAATGATAGGCTTACAAACTATAGTGGTTGGGTTTCCACAATTCTCACACCTAGTGAAATAATCAGGCTTTGTTTTCGATACACCACACTCCGTTTGCTTCCCTATCCTCTTCTAACGCTCTCACTGCTTCTTTTTAGATTCTCATTTTTTATACCTTTTATTCTTCCGTATCTCAAATAATGGAGTCTGTTTCCTAATCTGGATAACGTTGGAGGGCTGGCAATGCTGGACTCCCCCTTCCTCCTCTTTAAACAGGGAAAACATCTGTCTTCACTGCTGACTGTGATGCTCCCAGTTCGCATCTGTGCACTGATCTGGAATCCCAGATCTGATCATACCTTGAATGCCTCAAAGATCCTTTTGAAGAAAATGAAATTGGGGTCGTAGATTTCTGGCTCTTCTGTGACATATTCTATTTCCACTGGGGCATCGCTTCCCGATTCTTCCCCGTGCCCCTTGGCAGCCTGGGCAACTTGGTTATTTTTGGGGGTGGCATTTTGCTTCTTCTTTTTCTTCCGGTTCCGTCGCTTGCGGTTTTTCTGCCAAGGGAGCCAAGAAAAGATACATCCATCAGCATTTTGCACTGGTTAGCTTTCTGCCAGGTCTTAGAAAGAGTTTTTCCCAGCCCCAAAAAGAAATTCCCTGACGCATGCTGGAAATCTCAATTGAGTAAGTTCTCTGCATTTTTGCCCCACTTCTGCTTCTGCCTGTCCCCAAGAATCACAAGCACATTAATCCACTACCGAGAGGGGTAACTGCGATCTGCTGCTTGCTGGCTGGAGGTCTACAGTCAAGCTATTTTCAACCGAGTCAGATCTGTTTAGTTCAGTCTTTACTGATCACAAAGGTTCTCTTGCCAGGAACCTACCAGTGTCAGAACAGAACCGGGGATCTTTTTTTTTTTTTTTTTTTTTTT